ATTTAAAGTGAGTCTAATGATTAAATCTTAATATTATATAATTTATTAAACGAATTTCTCATTTATATTATTGAAATTTCATTGCTATATGTTTCATGTTTCATGTATTATATATTAATTTCTTATTATTATTTTATATTTATATTATTTATATTTCATTATTATATATTTATAAATTTCATGTATTATATATTAATTGTATATTATTATTATTTTTGTATTTTATTATATTTGTAATTTATTTTATTTTATTTTTCTTCTTTGTCATGTCGAGCTATTTAATTTATACATTTATAAATTTAAGTCTATATATTTATCATTTATATTTCGGTCATATAAATAAGCTTTCGTTATATTTTTATCCCAAATTTTTTTGTCCTTTTCAAATTAACTTTGATTTTTGACACATTGCGGAATCTAATAGCCTATAAATAATAAATTTCCAAATGTGACTAATACTAAATATATTCCCCACATAAATGTGCGCATATTAGCTCTTGCTGGAATTTAGTTGGCACTCTGATTTCCGCACACTCCATGGCTCTCATGGGATTACTGCTTGCATATGCGAGCTCGCTTCACCAACTTTGGCACCACAAAAAGGTACAGCCGCATAATTAGTGACAATTTTTGTTGCTAGGGCATGTCGCCCAAAGTTTTTGAGCAGTGTAAACGTCAGTCGCGCCAAAGACAAACAACAGGCATGCAAAATCCATCAGCAAGTTGCAGCAGTCTGGAATGCTGTGGAGCGGCCAGCAGGCACGCATAATGCAGAATCTTTGGCAATCGGCATGGCAACCCAGCCCCAAATGCCCCACCTCGACTGCCTCGCTGACTGGCTGCATCGCCTGCTTGGCTGGCAAATTAGTGAGCGAGCGATGGCAACGAGTGGTTGGGGCGGCGCGTTGAGCCGCTGCATGGCTGTGTCTAACAAACTTGGCCAGCATACCGCGGCCATTAGATGCGCATGCAATGCATGCAAATTGCAATTGCAATTCCCATTCACAGATTTCTCTGCCCAACGCTGAGAACGTATTAATTTGTCTGATGCCCGCGCGAGCACGT